CTTTTGAGAATTCTCAAGAGTCACGTTGGCGTCCCAGCCACCCTACTTCTCTCTGCCCCTCCCTCTCACTCCTGCCCCTCTTTTGAGAATTCTCAAGAGTCACGTTGGCGTCCCAGCCACCCTACTTCTCTCTGCCCCTCCCTCTCACTCCTGCCCCTCTTTTGAGAATTCTCAAGAGTCACGTTGGCGTCCCAGCCACCCTACTTCTCTCTGCCCCTCCCTCTCACTCCTGCCCTTTTTTGAGAATTCTCAAAAGTCACGTTGGCGTCCCAGCCACCCTACTTCTCTCTGCCCCTCCCTCTCACTCCTGCCCCTCTTTCCCCCATCCCACCAGGCGGACGTGGCAGTGAACTGGTGTCCGGCGCTAGGAACGGTGCTGGCGAATGAGGAGGTGGTGGACGGTCTCAGTGAGAGGGGCGGCCACCCCGTCATCCGCAAGGTGCGTGCGTGGGTGGGTGGGGATTCAGCTTTCGATGCTGAAGGTTCTTCATTCGGAAGGTGTGCTCTGGTTGAATTTGTGATTGTCACGAATATGACCCGTCAAGACAGAAATGGGAGGGGGGTGGTTGGGGGAACACCCCATTCCAATGCGAAGGTACAGGCACAGGGCATCCCTCTCTGCATCTATGATGCGAAAGACGCTTAGAGGACGTTGCGTCCTGCGTCTGGACGCAGCGTCTGGACGCTAGGACGCAAGACGCGCGTCCAGACGCAGGACGCAGATTTTTTTTCCAGATTACGAATTTCAATCTCGCGATTTCGACGCGACTGTCGAAATCGCGAAATTTTGACCCCCCATTGCCCAATTCGACATTGAAAAACAGCCCCCCCCCAACATTTCATAACCCCCCATGCAACAATTGAATTCCAAATACCTCTCAACCACTTCACATCTAGAAAACCCAACCAAGGTGCCTACCACCAAGCCCATTTAGCAATCTAACCAAGTCATTTCTCATTTCACCCACCCAACCAATTCTCTTTCGAAAACCCTAGAGGTTTTAGCCTACAAGCATAGCTTAGCTCCATTATGGCTTCCTCAAGCAACCCTACGTCATCTAACGCATCTAGGGATGTTCATGCCGAGGACGAGTCTCCCCCGCAGCGTTTCACTAGTGATGGGGTGGAGAAGAAACCGCAAAAGCCCAAACACCATATTTATAGGCATTTTTGGACATTCGAGGATCCGACGAAAAAGGGATTGCAGTGCAAGTGCCTTTGGTGCGAGAAATCGTTCGCCTTCAGTAGTAGCCGGTGCACTCAGCATCTCGCCGAATGGAACGACGCGAACGTGCGGCGCGATGGCGGTGTTGTTTGCGCGAAGGTTCCTAAGAGCATTTCAGACGCCATTCGCGGCGGGAAGGAGACAAAGATTACGGCGCGCAAGGATAAGGAGAGGGCTTTCGAGGCGGCGCTTACTGCGGTGAGCGGCCATGGCGGAGCGGAACCGAAGGCAAAGAAGGGGCGGATGGAGGATTGGTATGGCGAGGGGGGGAAGGCGGCGAAGCGTGCTGCCGACGATTCGATTTGCCTCTTCATCACGGGGACGCGCTTGGGGGAGACTATATGCCAGCACCCCCTCTTCCTCAACATGCTGCGCGCCGTGAACGCCGCCGGACCCGGCTATGTCCCCCCCAAGCGTGGTTACGTTGGAGGCGCCGGGCTGCTGGCGTGCAAGCAGCAGATTGAGAAGGGATTGACGCCCATTACGAAGACGTGGAAGGAGACTGGCATGACGATCGCAAGCGATATGATGAGGGACAAGAGCGGGCGTGCGCAGATGAACATCCTCTGCATCAACGCCAATGAAGCGATTTTCCAGGAGGCGGTTGACTGCAAGGCGGAGACCAAAAGCGGGGCGTTTATCGTGAGCGTCCTGCAGCCGGTCATCGAGAAGGTTGGACCGGAGCACGTCGTCGCGATTTGCACGGACGGCGGCAGCAACTACGTGTCCACCGCTAAGCTGCTGCAGAAGAAGTACCCGCACATTGAGTTCGTCCCCTGCGCCACTCATGTGCTCGACTTGCTATTGGAGGACTTCGGCAGCATGGCTTGGGCGCAGGAGGTCGTGCCTGTGGCGACCGACATGATTTCGTTCATTCGCAGCCACACGTGGACGCGTGCCTTCCTGCGCTGTCCCGAGCTGCACGGGGAGGAGAAGTCGCTTCAGCCGCTGCAACCGGCGGGCACGCGCTTTGGGACGCAGTACATAGCGGTGTCTCGTCTGCGTGAGATTCGCCCTCAGCTGACGGCGATGGTGACGCACAAGGATTGGGAGGAGAAGGGGAGGAAGCAGCTGACTGGGAAAGACTTTGAGGCGTCGGTGTTGGATGTGGAGTGGTGGGCAAAGGTGGATACCTTCATGAAGGTAATGGCGCTGCCGTACAAGGTGATGAGGAAGACGGATGGGCCGGCGAAGGGGATGATGGGGGCAATGTACGACCTGATGCTGCAGCTGACGGAGGACTTGTCGGCGCTGTTGGAGAGTGCGGATTGTCCGCTCAGCGATGCGGATAAGGAGGGGTTGCTGGAGCACTTGAGGCGGCGTTGGGACGAGAGTTTGGCCTGTCCTCTTCACGTGGTAGGCCGGATTCTGAACCCGGTCAACCAGGAGGAGGGGATCTATCTCAAGGACATTGAGTGCACCAGGGTGATGAAGGCCTGGCTGTCGCGCTCGAGGGCCTTTGTCGACAAGTACTGGAAGAAGGATGGCGAGAGGACTGGAACGATGATGGCGCTGCAGGAGGGGTTGCTGGCGTACATTGAGGGCAGGGGGTGCTTTGGGACGGAGGAGGCGATAGAGGGGCGTGCGCAGCTGAAGGCAGGGAAGGGGGACATGGCGACGTGGTGGAAGATGAATGGCTGGGAGTATGCCGATCTGACAGGCCTTGCAATCCGTGCGGTGTCACAGGCCGTTTCCGCTTCTCCGTGCGAGCGGGGATGGGCTACGTGGGATGGGGTGCACACGGCGCGCAGGAACAGGTTGGGGTCGGAGAAGGTGCGCGACCTGGTGTTCGTGGCGCACAACTGGAAGGCTGTGCTCGGCCACCACGAGGGTGCAGTTGTTGCAGGGCCAAGTGGGGAAGTGAGGAAGGCGGGGGTAGTGCAGGGGAACATTCCCACCCCTCCCCTCCCCGAGGGGTACATGTTGGAGGAGGATGGGGAGAGGGAGGTGGACGAGGACGACATGATGGTCGATGAGTACAAGGACCAGGATGAGAAGGATAGCGAGGAGGACGGGGATGAGTGACTGGTTGCCTGCATGCAGTGCTGTGGTGGTAGTGTAATAGTATGCGTGTTCTTCAGTGATACGATGAACTGTGCTTGTGACCTTGGGACATGTGTGTGTGTGACAATACGTGACTCACCTTAATCTTGAGATTTGGGGGAAAATTTGATGTTGGGGCCAAGTTTGCCTTGAAAGTGTGGAACGTCCCCCCCCCCCCCCCCCCCCCCCCCCCCCCCCTCATCCCATGCCCTATAACAAGTGTTTTTGCCTGCCCGGGGGTTTTTTTTGCCTGCCCGGGACTGCGTCTTTTGGTGCGTCTTTCTGGTCCTGGTGAAGAGTCCTGCGTCCTGGACGCAGGACGCGTCTTTCGCATCATAGCTCTGCATCTCCTGTAACGCATCATACTGCCGCAGAGGTAATGCAACTTACCTTCCACTGACTTCTACGACTTCTCATTTGTTCACTTCACTGTGTCAGAGCTTCTGTGTGCTCCAACGCCCCTCTTCCCCACTCACCCTTACCCCTTCTCCCTTCCCCACTTACTGACCTCCCACTCTCCTCCATCCCCTTCCCACCTTTCCCCTCCCCTCGCCAGCCCAAGAGGCAGTGGATGCTGCGAATCACTGAGTACGCCGATTGCTTTCCCCTCTCAACTTTTGTCTTCCATGCCAACCCTTTCTTCCCTTACCCCTTACCCGCTCCCCCCCCCTTTACCACTCGTCAGCCCATGCGCCAGTGGATGCTGCGAATCACGGAGTACGCCGATCGCCTGCTGGACGATTTGGACGGCCTGGATTGGCCCGAGAGCGTCAAGGAGATGCAGCGCAACTGGATCGGACGGTCCGAGGGCGCTGAGGTGGAGTTCGCCATCGCTGACGTGGCAGACGGATCTGCCAGCGTGCGCGTGTTCACCACACGTCCCGACACCATCTGCGGCGCCACGTGGGTTCCTCTCATTGGTCTGGACTCTGAATCAAGTCCGTCTGCCTGCCTGGCCACCTAAAAATCCTCACATCGCTGGATTGCCTTTTTTAGTCGACTCAAAAGTCACCTGGCGAGTAGTAGTCTGTTATCATGGGTGCCTGAAAAGCCTCATACCGCTAGACTGTCTTGCTGCCATGTTTCTTTCCCTCCTCCCCCCCCATTCCCAACCCTCTCCCCCTTCTTCTCATCCTTTCCCCCCCTCCCCTCCGCCTTCACCACCAGCTACCTAGTGTTGGCACCAGAGCACCCGCTAGTCACCTCCATCACGTCGGAGCAGCAGAGGGCGGCAGTGGAGGCGTATGTGGTGGCGGCGGGGCAGAAGAGCGACCTGGAGCGCACGGACCTGGCCAAGGGCAAGACGGGCGTGCCCACGGGGGCAGAGGCCGTCAATCCCGTCACGGGAGAGCGCATCCCCGTGTGGGTCGCTGACTACGTGCTCGCCAGGTGGGTGCTGTGCTGTGCTGTGCGGTGCTGTGCTGTGCTGTGCGGTTCTGTGCATTGCCGTGCTGTGAAGAGCGATCTAAGGCGCACGGGCCTGGCCAAGAGCAAGACAGGGCATGCCATGGGGCCAGAGGCGGTCAACCCTGTCACGGGCGAGCGCATCCCCGTGTGGGTTGCCGACTATGTGCTCGCTAGGTGCGTGCTGTGCTAGTGGGGTGGTTAAGAAGACGCAGATTTATTAAATGCGCATGCTCTCACTCACCCCTGCGCTCCTCTCTCCATCTACTTGTGCTCTGTACTATTGCTCCTCTTCTTGCCCTGCCCTCCCCCTCCACTTCCTTTGCCTGCAGCTACGGCACTGGCGCCATCATTTGCCAGCGCCCACGCATGATGCACGTGACCTCACATGCTCTACTTTTGAGGCGCCTCAAAAGACACATGATGCACGTGACTTCACATGCTCTAACACACCCCTCCTCCCCTCTCTCCCGCTGCCTCTCGTACTGTGATCTTGCCTCTCCTTGCTACACGGCAGCTACGGCACGGGGGGCATCATGGCAGTGCCGGGACACGACTCGCGAGACCTCAAATCACTTTCCCTTCGCCCTGCCCCCTTCGCCCTCCTTGCCGGCAGCTACGGCACGGGGGCCATCATGGCAGTGCCGGGACTCGACTCGCGAGACCTCGAATCACTTTCCCTTCGCCCTGCCCCCTTCGCCCTCCTTGCCGGCAGCTACGGCACGGGGGGCATCATGGCAGTGCGGGGACACGACTCCTGAGGCGCGCCTCAAAGCACCTTCATTTACCCTTCTCTTCGCCCTGCCACATCCCTCCCATCCCATCTGCTGCAGCTACGGCACGGGGGCCATCATGGCCGTGCCGGCGCACGACTCGCGAGACCTCGAATTCGCCCAAACCTTCTCTCTGCCCGTGCGCCAAGTCGTGCGCCAAGCAGCGCAGCGCAGCGGTGGTGGTAAGGGGAAGAAAGCGTCTGGAGAAGCGGCAAGAGAAGAAGAAGAGGCGGCAATAGAGGAGGCGTATGCGGGGAGCGGGGTGATGGTGAATTCGGGGTATGAGAGCACGGGGGTGGACCTGAACGGGCTCGACAACACCGCTGCTGGGGATGCTGTTGTTGCCTGGCTGGAGGAGCGGGGACTGGGGAAGAAGCAGGTAAGGCAGGGGTGGGGAAGAAGCAGGTGAGGCAGTAAAGAGTCAGGGAGATAGTGGGTAATCATGTGAACAGAGGAACAGGGAGAGGCGAGCAGGTAGACTACACAGCAGTGGGTTCGGAACGTTCTCTGGGACAATCCCCTCCTTCTCCCCTTCAACCTCCCCCTCCCCCCCTCCTCGCAGATCAACTACAAGCTGAGGGACTGGTTATTCGCCTGGCAGCGCTACTGGGGGGAGTCGGAGCTCGCTCAAAGTGCCACCCCCGCCCCAACTCCCCCCTCCCTCCCCCTCGCAGATCAACTACAAACTGCGGGACTGGTTATTCGCCCGGCAGCGCTACTGGGGCGAGCCGTTCCCGGTGGTGCTGGTGCCGGGTGAAGACGGGCAGGAGCGCGTGGTGGGCGTGCCGGAGTCACAGCTGCCGGTGGTGCTGCCTGAAATGGACGACTTCAACCCCACTGGCACGGGGGAACCACCGCTTGCCAAGGCCACTGACTGGGTAGGCTTGAGGAGGGGGGAAGCGTTGGTTTGTTAGTGGGCAGGGAAGGAGAGGGCGTGTGGGGTGGGCGTGCCGGAGGCACAGCTGCCAGTGGTTCTGCCTGAAATGGACGTTTTTAACCCCATGGGCATGGCGGAACAGCCCCTTGCCAAGGCCACTGACTGGGTAGGCTGAGATTGAGAGAAGAGGTGAGGGGAAGGGTGTAACATTGGCGGTGTGGGTACCGGAGTCACAGCTGCCGGTGGTGCTGCCTGAAATGGCCGACTTCAATCCCACCGGCACGGAGGAAGGAACCACCCCTTGCCAAGGCCACTGACTAGGTAGGCTTCTTGAAGGGGGCAGTGGGGAGGACACGGATTACGGGGATAGCGGGAAGAATAGAATTAGAAGGCTGAGAAAGAGCCACGGAAAATGGGTGGGGATGCAATGCAAGGGCGGGCAGCAGCAGGGAAGTGAAGTCAGGAGCCAGCCTTTTGGTATTTTCCCCCATCACCCCGCCCCGATCCTTACTCAAGTCGAGAGCCCATCACCCCGCCCCGATCCTTACTGACCTCTCTGCATCCTCCCCTCCTTCCCTCCCCGCTCCCTCAATTTTCGTGTTTCCTTCAGGTGAATACAACAGATCCAGCATCAGGACTACCCGCCAGGCGGGAGACCAACACCATGCCTCAATGGGCCGGTTCCTGCTGGTAACCCCATGCCTTGGCTCCTGCTGGTAACCCCATGCCTTGCCTGCTTGTAACCATGTCGTAATTCCTGCTTGTAACCATGCCTTGGCTCCTGCTGGTAACACACCTTTGCTGCTGCTGGTAACCACATCTTTGCTGCTGCTGGTAACCACATGATTCCTAATAACAGGTGCCTTTGCCGTTGCTGCTGTCCCCCTAGCGGTCTCTGCACGTGCTGGCAATTCAGCATTGTGGTGCTTGCATACCGAACTCGACCCACCGCGCCTGCTACTACTAGCCTGCATGCCATGCCATTCATTCACCCTCTGTGGCACGCTCTTACTCCTTATCTGTGTCTGTGTGTGCATGGCATGGCATTGCATGGCATGGCATGGCATGGCATGGCATGGCATGGCATGGCATGGCATGGCATGGCATGGCATGGCATGGCATGGCATGGCATGGCAGGTACTACCTGCGTTTCATGGACCCGGCCAACTCCAACGCCCTCGTGGACCCACAAAAGGAGAAGTGAGTCGCCACATGCGCAGAGGCACTGGGCAGTGCCGCGCTGCACTCCACTGCACCCCTGACGCAGCACATCACAGTCTTAATGTAGTAGCAGCACACACACTTCCCCACTCCCCCACTCCCAGCACTCTCCCCACCCTGCTCCGCTGCACCTCGCCGCAGCAAGGCTTTCTCTTCTTCCTAGGACCTAGCTAACCCAGCTCCGTCTTTTGAGGTGCCTCAGGTCAGATACTTCTTCCTGCGGCATACCTAACCCAGCTCCGTCCATCTGTCTTAATGCCTGCCCTCTCACACCGCCAGGTACTGGGGTGGGGCCCAGTGGATCTGTACGTGGGGGGGGTGGTGCTTTTGAGTCGACCCCATGCCTGTAGATATTGCTTGCAGTTAATACCACCACTGCCCCTCTGCCTGCCCTCTCACACTGCCTACCAACCAGGTACTGGGGCCCAGTGGATCTGTACGTGGGGGGAGCAGAGCACTCAGTGCTGCACCTGCTGTATGCACGCTTCTGGCACAAGGTGAGGGAGTGGTGGTGTAACGGGTGCAAGGCGTGGCGTGGCACTGGTGGTGGCGGTAGCGGTGCAAGGGGTGAGGTGAGTGAGGGGCTCATGTGGTGAACGGTACAAAAAGAGGTGAGGGGTGTGGTGTGGTGGTGGGTGGGTGTACACCACTACCTGCTGGAACTTCAAATTCACGTCGAGGCAAAGCAACACACGGCCACGCCAACCTTCCCTTCCTCACCAGGTGCTGTATGACATAGGAGCAATGTCAACAAAGGAGCTCTTCCACTGTCTGGTCAACCAGGGCATGATTCTGGGCGAGGTGGAGTTCAACTTTAACCCTCTACCTCTCCCCCCCACAACCAACAGGTGCTGTACGACATAGGAGCAGTTTCAACGAAAGAGCCCTTCCAGTGTCTGGTCAACCAGGGAATGATTCTCGGGGAAGTCGAGTTCACAGCCTACCGAGACACCGCCTCAGGAGCCCTCCTCTCCGCCGACGCCGCCGCCAAGCGCCCCGCGGGGGAGTGTGTGCCTGAGAGGGTGCCTGAGACGGCGGTGGAGAAGAGGAGTGGGAAGGGGCACGACTGCCACGTACGTGGAGTTCACCTTTACCCCTCCTTCCCCCCACTCCTCTATGGCAGGTGCTATACGACATAGGAGCAGTTTCAACGAAAGAGCCCTTCCAGTGTCTGGTCAACCAGGGAATGATTCTCGGGGAAGTCGAGTTCACAGCCTACCGAGACACCGCCTCAGGAGCCCTCCTCTCCGCCGACGCCGCTGCCAAGCGCCCCGCGGGGGAGGGTGTGCCTGAGAGGGTGCTTGAGAGGGGGCCTGAGACGGCGGTGGAGAAGAGGAGTGGGAAGGGGCACGACTGCCACGTACGTGGAGTTCACCTTTACCCCTCCTTCCCCCCACTCCTCTATGGCAGGTGCTATACGACATAGGAGCAGTTTCAACGAAAGAGCCCTTCCAGTGTCTGGTCAACCAGGGAATGATTCTCGGGGAAGTCGAGTTCACAGCCTACCGAGACACCGCCTCAGGAGCCCTCCTCTCCGCCGACGCTGCCGCCAAGCGCCCCGCGGGGGAGTGTGTGCCTGAGAGGGTGCCTGAAGAGGCGGTGGAGAAGAAGGGGGAGGGGTACGTGCTCAGGGCGGACCCGAGCGTGGGGGTGTCCGCGCGCGCACACAAGATGAGCAAGTCAAGGGGGAACGTTGTCAATCCCGACCACGTCGTGTTTGAGTTTGGGGCCGACTCACTGCGGCTGTACGAGATGTTCATGGGGCCGCTCAGGTGAGCCTAGGAGGGTGCGCCTTGGTTCCTCATGAGCGCACAAGATGAGCAAGTCGAGGGGGAACGTGGTGAACCCCGACCATGTGGTGTTTGAGTTTGGGGCCGATTCACTGCGCTTCTACAAGATGTTCATGGGGCCGCTCCGGTGAGCTCTCACGCGCTTTTGTTGTTTTTTTTTTTCTTGTGTGGGGCTGCCAGGTCTTGTTTGTTGTAAACGTTGGGGCAGCAAGGCGTGGTGGAGGGCATGCAATGGTTCCTCAGTGCACGTGGATTCTTTAGGCGCTTGAGAAAGACACTCCGCATGGGACATCACCCCACTTCCTCTTCCCTCCTCTTCCCTCCTCTTCCCTCCTCTTCCGTCTTCTTCCCTCCTCTTCCCTCCTCTTCCCTCCTCCTCCTACCCTGACGACTCCCCTGCTGTCCTCATCCCCCCTCCTCTTTGCAGGGAGACCAAGGTGTGGAGCACCAAGGGAGTGGAGGGAGTGCATCGGTTCCTGGCGCGCGTGTGGCGGCTGCTCGTGGGGCAGGCAGACCCCGCCACCGGGCAGTACCGCTCCCACGGGGTGGCGCCCTCTGTCGTGGACGACGCCCCTTCAGAGGAGCAGCTGAGAGCGCTGCACGCGTGCATTCATAAGGTGTGAGGGGGGGATGGGGGGTAGGGGTGCAGTGCAGTGCAGTGCAGTCAATTTGGTGCTCGTGGGGCAGGCAGACCCCGCCACGAGGCAGTACCGCGCTGCAGGGGTGGCGCCCTCTGTCGTGGACGACGCCCCTTCGGAGGAGCAGCTGAGAGCGCTGCACGCGTGCATTCTTAAGGTGTGAGGGGGGGATGGGAGGTAGGGGTGCAGTGCAGTGCAGTCAAGTTGGTGCTCGTGGGGCAGGCAGACCCCGCCACCGGGCAGTACCGCGTTGCAGGGGTGGCGCCGTCTGTCGTGGATGATGATCTCTCGGAGGAACAGCTGAGAGCCCTGCACGCCTGCATCCACAAGGTGAGGAGGCGGGAAGGGGACACACACAGTCACGCTGGTGGGGCAGGCAGGCAGACCCTGTCACGGGGCAGTAACGTGCTGCAGGGGTGGCGCCGTCTGTGGTGGACAGCGCTCCCTCGGAGGAAGAGCTGAGAGGTGTGAGGGGGAGACGTACAGTCTCGCCTTTTGAGGCGCCTCAAAAGAGGGGGAGACGTACAGTCTCGCCTTTTGAGGCGCCTCAAAAGAGGGGGAGACGTACAGTCTCGCCTTTTGAGGCGCCTCAAAAGAGGGGGAGACGTACAGTCTCGCCTTTTGAGGCGCCTCAAAAGAGGGGGAGACGTACAGTCTCGCCTTTTGAGGCGCCTCAAAAGAGGGGGAGACGTACAGTCTCGCCTTTTGAGGCGCCTCAAAAGAGGGGGAGACGTACAGTCTCGCCTTTTGAGGCGCCTCAAAAGAGGGGGAGACGTACAGTCTCGCCTTTTGAGGCGCCTCAAAAGAGGGGGAGACGTACAGTCTCGCCTTTTGAGGCGCCTCAAAAGAGGGGGAGACGTACAGTCTCGCCTTTTGAGGCGCCTCAAAAGAGGGGGAGACGTACAGTCTCGCCTTTTGAGGCGCCTCAAAAGAGGGGGAGACGTACAGTCTCGCCTTTTGAGGCGCCTCAAAAGAGGGGGAGACGTACAGTCTCGCCTTTTGAGGCGCCTCAAAAGAGGGGGAGACGTACAGTCTCGCCTTTTGAGGCGCCTCAAAAGAGGGGGAGACGTACAGTCTCGCCTTTTGAGGCGCCTCAAAAGAGGGGGAGACGTACAGTCTCGCCTTTTGAGGCGCCTCAAAAGAGGGGGAGACGTACAGTCTCGCCTTTTGAGGCGCCTCAAAAGAGGGGGAGACGTACAGTCTCGCCTTTTGAGGCGCCTCAAAAGAGGGGGAGACGTACAGTCTCGCCTTTTGAGGCGCCTCAAAAGAGGGGGAGACGTACAGTCTCGCCTTTTGAGGCGCCTCAAAAGAGGGGGAGACGTACAGTCTCGCCTTTTGAGGCGCCTCAAAAGAGGGGGAGACGTACAGTCTCGCCTTTTGAGGCGCCTCAAAAGAGGGGGAGACGTACAGTCTCGCCTTTTGAGGCGCCTCAAAAGAGGGGGAGACGTACAGTCTCGCCTTTTGAGGCGCCTCAAAAGAGGGGGAGACGTACAGTCTCGCCTCACACTGGTGTATCCCGTCCACAAGGTGTGGCAGGGAGGGGCCGAGCAGGGGGGGGGGCGAGCAGTGAGGGGGCGAGCAGTGAGGGGGCGAGCAGTCTTGCTGGTGGGGGAGGGAGGGGAGGCTTGCAGTGCGGCGCCTCACTCTCGCCCTGCTTGCACGCACCAGGTGGGACAGTTTTGAGGCACATCAGTGCACGTCTGTCTGTCTGCATGCATGCACAAGGTGGGTGGAATGGAAGAGGGGCACTCTCTCTTCTAGTTTTTAGAATTCTCAAAAACCAGGTTTGAGGCGCATCAGTGAACGTCTGTCTGTGTTGTGCATGCACAAGGTGGGTGGAATGGAAGAGGGGCACTCTCTCTTCTAGTGCTACTGCTTTCAGCCACGCACCTTCTCATTCTTGCACCCACCACCCACCCACCACCACCCACCACCCCACCACTCATCACCACCACCCACCCCTCCACCCACCATCACCACCAGGTGACGGAGGAGGTAGAGGCGATGCGGTTCAACACAGCCATTGCGGCCATGATGGAGTTCACCAACGCCGCCTACAAGTGGCCCAGCGTGCCGAAAGACGCCGCCCGCCCGCTCGTGCTGCTGCTGTCGCCCTTCGCCCCGCACGTTGCCGAGGAGCTCTGGCAGCGCCTGGGGGGCACCTCGTCGCTCGCCTACGAGCCGTGGCCACAGGTGCGTGGGGTGGTACACACCCTAGAGTGACGTCCACCAACGGGCGGAAACCTGTTGCAAGGGCGGCTCTGGCAGCGCCTGGGGGGCACCTCGTCGCTCACCTACGAGCCGTGGCCGCAGGTGCGTTTCTTTGTTTAAGGGAGGGGGTGCCCTCTCTGTGGACACAAGAAACCCTCCCAGTCTGGCAGGGCGCTTCTGGCAGCCCGGGGGGGGAGGGTGCTCACACTTGCTGAAGCCGCGTGAAGGTGCGTGCTGTTGTTGAAAGGGGCGGGAGCTCTGGCCTTGAGGTGCGCTCCGTGATATGGATGCTCTGACCACGTGCCCTCCCTCCCGTTTCTCCCTTCCTCTTCCCCTACCAGGCCCTGCCCCGGTACCTGGTGGAGGACATGATAGCCCTGCCACTGCAGGTGAACGGCAGGGTGCGCACCACACTCCAGGTGCCAGGCTACCGCAATCCCCCTCACTCTACCTACTCTACCTTCCCTTGCCCCTTCCCCTCGCCCCTTCCCCTCCCCTCCCCACCAGGCCCTGCCCCAGTACCTGGTGGAGGACACGATAGCCCTGCCAGTGCAGGTGAACGGCAAGGTGCGCGCCACACTGCAGGTGGCGGTGGGCGTGGAGCAGGAAGCAGCCGTGGCGGCAGCGCTGGACCACCCCAACGTGGCCCGCCTGGTGGAGGGGAAGAGTGTACGCAAGACCATCTTTGTCAAGGGGAGGATTCTCAACCTGGTGGTGGGATGAGGTGGGGGAGGAGGAAGAGGAGAGGGGGGGTGGATGGGGGGGGAGGGAGATTTGTGTGTGAAGAAGAGCGTGCACAAGATCATCTTTGTCAAGGGGAGGATTCTCAACCTGGTGGTGGGGTGAGGTGGGGGAGGAGGAAGAGGAGAGGGGGGGGAGAGGGGGGGAGAGGGAGATTGTGTGGGAAGAGCGTGCGCGCGCAAGACCATGTTTGTCAAGGGGAGGACTCTCTCTCTCAACCTGGTGGTGGGGTGAGGATTGTTTTCAAGTGGGACTCTCAGTCAGCTGGAAGGAAATGCCTGTGATGTACGGTATCATCAGTCGGTGCAATGTGTTGGAATTAAGGTTAATTCGGGTTGCTCCAATAAACATATGTAGTGGTACATCTACACTATGGTAGTGTAGAATACATTGGTTGGGTTGGGAGAACTTGTGGTGTACACTCTTTAGAGTGGACCACCTCCCAAACCCTATAGGTTAGGGTTCTCTCTTGTTGGTATTTCACTTTTGGAAACCACTTTGGTTCTAGCATGGTTCATGCCCAAGTGGGCTCCTATGATTCCTAGGCTTTAGGAGGAGGTTCTAAGACTACTAAAGCTTCCGCTAGTATCTTAGTCCATTCTAATATGGTATCCGAGCAAGGAAGGCCTAGCAATCTGTTGGAATAGGAGTTACTCAAGACATTGGACCATAAGATCTTGGTGGAAGCTAGTTAGCTTCCATTCCTCCCGAAGGGCTGCCGAAATTGCACCGTGGCGGACTCTGGACGTGGGAGGGGAGGAGGAGAGAAGAAAACTGCTGGAAATCGTGTGGATCCGTTTGGGAGGACGAGAAGAGCGGCATCCATCCACGGAGGCGCTCAGTCAACTTTGGCCGATCAATACGTGCAGCATACCGTTGGAAAGGTCTCAGCACGCTCTACAACAGTTGCCTCAGGGTCGTCACCAATCGACGAGGGGATCGGACGCAATTCGCGAAAAACTGCCGGCGGACGAATTGGAAAATCGCGAATCGGGGAAGATTCAAAGCGCGGAAAAAAGATTGGAGGCCAGACGCCGATAGAGGAGGCCAGGGCGCATCCAACAAGCCAAAAATCGGGAGAAACGGTTGAGTCTTCGTCGACGGGAAATCGGCCAACTTCGACGAGTTTAAGCGGCCAGCTTGGAAGCGGGATCCAAGAGCGCGATACATCATCGGAACGGTCTTGGAGCAAAGATTCATCTGAGACAAACGACTCATCATTCGGAGGTTCGAGCGCGGAGTTACGCTCCAAAAACCAAGAGGGGGCAAATCTGTCCACATCGTCTCCACCACCGCCGCCGTTGCCTCCACCACCACCTCAACGTCAATCTCCAGAGTGTCTGCCGCAAATGGATCATGAGTCAGGTGAAGGGAAGCTGGAGAGTGCGCCAAAGTTCGACGGGAGCGACTATTGGACTTGGAGCTTCCGATTCGAACAATGGGCAGAGGCACACGATCTATGGGGGTACTTTGATGGTTCGGAGGAGCGGCCTGCATCGGGTGACGCACGGCTGAAGTGGGAGAGAAAAAATCAGAAGGCATTCGCTCAATTCTGCAATGCCTTGGTGCCAGATGAGCTAATTCGCTTGGTACGGGAGTTCGGCGGCAAGACCGAGTTGGGCAGCGCACCTGTTGATGGCGGAGCAAGAGCGGTCACCCGAATTCCTGCAGGCACAGCAGCGGCATACATACGAGTGAAGGAGTTCTACCTTCAGCGTGGATTGTGTAACCGGATGGCACTCTCTGAGGAGCTCTCTTCATTGAAGATGAAAGAGGGGGAGGGGGTGGCTGCATACTGGGCGCGTGCCGAGGACTTGAGGTCCAAGTACTTGGCTGCAGGAGGAAAGGAGGAGGTTGAGGAGTGGATGATGAGGGTACTCAAAGGACTACCTCCTCACTTTGAGATGCTGAAGGTGGTGTTGAACAACCAGTCATCATCGCTCACTAAGGATCAGCTGCTTACCTCCTTGAGGAGCGAGGAGATGCGGATTGGTGTCGCACCAAGATCGGATGGTGTAGCCACATTTGGAGCGGGTACGAAAGTGGGCAGCAGCGGCAGGGGAAATTGGGTCAAGGGAGGAAAGCATGGAGACAGCGGTAGCAGCAGTGACACCAACTCAGGCAGATGGGGTCAAGGGAAAGGCAAAGCGGGAGTGCTTGATTTCCCTTGGGGGTCCAAGGGCATGGCTCCTCGGGGGTTGTGTCATGGCTGTTGGGATGAGGGACATGCATGGCAGCGATGTCCTCATCGACCTAAGGGAGGCATTCCGGCATTCTTAAAGCGGGGGGGTCGTAGGTCCAACGGCAAGGCACAGGTGGCGGATGAGGAGGAGCAGGATGACAAGGCAGAGGCAGTGGTTGGAGAAGCAGTTGCAGCAGTGGGAGAGGAGCAGCCGCGAGAGGGGTGGTGGATTGACAGTGGGGCCAGCCACAACTTTACTCCTTATGCATCGGACTTCAAAAGTAAGCTTCAACCACCAGAGGTTCGGGGAGTTAGATTGGGAGATGGACGGGTGGTGAAAGCTGTTGGCATGGGTGAGGTGCCAGTGGTTGGTGCTGGAGGTCAGCTGCTGAGGATTCAAAAGGTCCACCTTGTGCCTGAGATGCACACGCGTCTGCTGTCAGTCCCACACCTCACCTCTCGAGATGTCATTGTCACATTCAAAGGCAAGAGATGTGTCCTTCAACGGGGGGAGCGGGTGTTGGCGATTGGAGAAAAGGAGAGGGGAAGGGACCATGGATTGGTGCGGATGTTTCTTCCTCTTGCTCAGGGCACACAGGGCAGTGCTCTTGCAGCTAAGTCGTCCTCCTCATTTTCCCCATTGACCCTTGCCCATCGCCGCCTTGGTCATACCGCCCCCACAACATTGCAACAGATGGCTCGGGGGAACAGTGTACTGGGCTTGGAGATTGGGGGGGGGAACACTGATTGTTCCCCATGTGAGCCCTGCTTATTGGGAAAGTCGGCTCGGAAGCCGTTTCCCCATGAGGCGTCTCGGGCACTTGGGCCTTTGGATGAGGTCCACATGGATTTGTGGGGGCCGGTGCGCACACCATCACTGGGAGGAGCGGTGTATGTCCTCAGTCTCATTGACGACTTCACCAGACGAGTTTGGTCGTTCCCCCTCCCCAACAAGGAATCGGCCATAGTTGCAAAAGTCCTTCGCCAGTGGCATAAGGACGTGGAGTTGGAGTGTGGGCGGAAGCTGAAGGCTGTTCGCTCGGACAGGGGTGGCGAGTTCTTGGGGGAAGCTGTAAAAGCATGGAAGGCGGAGTTTGGCATTAAAACTCAATTGAGCGTCGCAGATACACCGCAACAGAATGGGGTTGTGGAGAGGTGGCACAGGACGATGGCAGAGGGGATTCGCACATTGTTGGTCGACAGTGGTCTCCCTGCTCGCTTGTGGGGTGAAGCATTGATGTGGGTCGTGTGGGTTAAGAACAGGGTCACCCACAGTGCTTTGCCTGCCTCCATCACACCAATGGAGGCGTGGTCCGGCCAGAAGCCGCATGTGGGCATGGCTCGGATTTGGGGTTGCATGGGGAGTGTCATGTTGCATGGGCATGAGAAGGGTGGCAAGCTTGATGCACGGGCTGTCATGTGTGTCTGTGTTGGGGTGGACATGGAGAGCAAGGGTTGGCGCATGCTGGACCCTTCTATCATGCGCATTCGCATTGCTCGGGATGTTGATTTCCTTGAGAATGTGATGTGGAAGGATTGGGACAAGGCAAAGGAATTTGGGGAGCTTCTGCAGGATGCAGCTGCAATTTCCCAACTCCTCCCTCTTCCACTCTCGCCACCTTCAGCAACGGCTGACGACGTTGAGATGCCACTTTCACCACTGCCACCGGCACCGCTGAGTGTGTCGGTGCAGCAGCAGCCCACCCCTCTGCAGCAGCTCAGTGGCCCCTCGGTCATTCAGCGGAGATCCGCTACACAGGCTACTTCCTCTTCCTCCTCCTCTGGTCAGCGCTCTATCCCTCTCTCTACGGGTGCCCCTCCGTCACCAGCGACTACCTCCCCACCACCGGTTACGGGTTTGCAGGTGCTTGGTATCCAGTCTGGTACAGGTGGTGAGGAGGTAGGGGGGGATGCTGGTGTGGTTGAGGGCATGCTATGTTTGGCCAGGGAGGTGGAAGGTGTTGCACTGGCAGGTGTGAGCACAGATGATGTCCCACGCACACTCGCTGAGGCCCTGCGTGGCCCTGAGGGCCCTGCGTGGAAGGCAGGCGCTGAGAAGGAGGTAAATGCAATGCGCACTATGGGTGTATGGGATCCAGAGCCGGTTGACTTACCTCCAGGTAAGAAGGCCATTGGGGTCCGGTACGTTTTCCGCAGGAAAACTGACAAGGAGGATAAGGTGGTACAGCACAAGGTTCGCCTTGTTGCTAAGGGGTACACTCAGGAGCCTGAGAAGGACTATGATCAGGTATTTGCCCCTGTGGGCAAGCTGACCTCAGGTCGGGTGCTTCTTGCAGAAGCCGCGGTAAAAGGGTGGCATGTACAACAGGAGGATGTTGATCATGCTTACCTCAATGCACTCCTTCAAGAGGAAGTGTATGTGAGGCAACCTGAGGGATTTGATGATGGTACAGGTAGGGTGCATCGCTTGCGCAAAGCTCTCTATGGGCTCAAGCAAGCGCCTCGTGCTTGGAATGAGGAGATTGGTACCACCTTGATTGCAGCAGGGTTTGACCGCAGTGCATGTGATGAGGCTTTGTACATCAGGTTTGTGGATGAAGAGCCAGTGTATGTATTGGTGTATGTGGATGACCTCTTGCTTGTGTCTCCACGCTTGGAGCTGATCGGTCAGGTCAAGGAGGTGCTTGCTCAGAGGTACCAGATGAAGGATCTAGGTGAGGTATCCATGTACCTTGGTGTGGAGGTTCGCAGGTCGGTCAAGGATGGGTGGTTGGAGATTGGTCAGGAGAAGTATGTCCGTGGTCTCCAGGGAAGGTTTGGTGATCTGCTGAAGGAGACC